TGTGGCTTCTCTTTTATTTCGCCTGGAAAACCTGTGAACAGAACAAAAGAACAACTTTAAGATAGACCTTTGAAGTTAAATGTGTGTTGGGGATGTGTTTAATATATAGCATTTTAATCTTTTGAGTATTCGTAGCTGGTCAAAAAAAAAAAATCTTACGTTATCGTGAGTGTTTTATGATAATGTGCACTGAAAGTCTGGCACATACTGAAAATCTTCTTTAATTACTGTGTGAAGTGATCTTGGAAAGCGTGTTGAAAGCGTCATAATATGAGCCTACATGACTCCGGACGCTTTACTTTTTTTTAACTACTCGCTCTGTTAAACCCCACTTGCTCCACCCAGTCAAAATCAGGCCACGTGAACTTTTTGAAGGAGAGGTAGAGTAGAGATTCTAAATTTGTTTTGCAGGATTTGTCTAACTCGCCATACAGTTGAACCAAGTTAATCCGGCTACCATAAGGCCATCGATAACCTGGTCTTGTCTACGGGCTGCTTGTATGGCACTGTTTTAATATATGCGTCATTAATCTATACCTGTCAGTCTGGCCAATTCTTTGAAGTCACTTGTGACCTTCAGCTTCTCTCTGACTGCCAAACTAAGAAGGAAATTAAAATCGCCAATAGGATCAATGTAACTCTGTACTAAAGACCTGAGAATTTTGTTCTCCAAAATTAAGTTGTACTTCTAAGCAAAAGATCTCTTAGTCTTAATAAAATAAGCATTGTAAGGTCGTATTTACTTTCTTTTTTCACAAACTATAGTGGTTTACAAAATCGATTTTTTTTTTTTTTTGCCACGAAATCACAATCTATTGTCTCTCACCTAAAAAAGCAGCTGTTATCCCCCTGCTCGTCGAGCACAATCTGTAAAAACCACGATGGTCGGTATAAAACCACGCGAAGAAGCTTATCACCGAAGCTGTAGAACAAAAGCAGAGATGAAAACAGAAACTTAAACACAGTTGCTACGCGCAGCATTTTTTAATAGACAGTGATTACCCCTCCCCCCCTCCCCCTCCCCCAGCATTAAATTCGCCGGTACACATCCTCTTCGAAGGGGTCTCTCTCACCAAAGCGACTGTAGTGCTCGTTGGAAATTTTGTGAAACACCCCT